GTCTCAACAGCAATCTTGGTTTGGGTGTCAGTTATTTGATGTCCCAAGTATCTTACTGACATGTTTTGGGCTCAGTTGACAAGAAAGGTAACAATTGTATCCTTAAGGAGATATTTCCTATTATTATTTCTAAGTCAGCTTCTTGACCCATTGTCACCTGTCTTGAGAAATTAACTTACTTTTTGTAAACTTTCGTTTCCTTTTCTGCTACTAAGAGAATGATACTTGTTATGCTGGTTAACTCTCAACACTAAATACATTCTTATTTATAAACTCAGTGAAAGACTGTAAAAATAAAAATAATACTTTCCCAATTTTCATATTCATATATCTCTCATAATAAATGAGTGTTGTACTATCCTTCTCTACTTCAAATACCTTTTTAAAAAATATTTTGATGAAAGAGACAATCTAAGAAATGTCTTTATAATCTATTACATCCTAAGGTAGTAGTTGATTATAAAGCTATTTTGCCTACATAGTGGGCCAGAATAATTATGTAAAAACTACTGAAAGTTTCAAGGTCTCATAATGCAGTAGCCAAGGTGTTGGGCAGATCTGTGGTCTCATCTGTGTCTCCAGAGATGAAAAAATCTGTTTCCAAGTTCACCTATTTGGCAGAATTTCATTCCTTGTGGTGTTGTAACTGATGGGCTCAAAATTGACTGCTGGTGGGAAGTCTTTGCTGGAGGCCAGCTTCAGCTCCAAGAAGTTACCTATAGGTCCTTGACATGTGGGTTCCCAAATATGGTGGCTTGTTTTCACAGAGCCAGGAAGGGAGGGAAGACACTCCAGCAATATGCGTGCTACAAGCCCATATAATTCTATGTAACAGAATCACAAATGCACAATCATATATACTTTGTTACAATTGCCATATTCAATTGGTTAGAAGTAAGTTGCAAGTCTTGCCCACAGTCAAGAGGAGGGCAACACACAGACCACTGACAACAAGAGGCAGAAATCATGGTAGCACCTTAATTGTCTGCCCAACACTGATAAATCATGTTATACATCCTTCCAATGAGAATTAGGAGTTTTCCCACATTTGCAGTGCTCTGGAACAATTTATAGAACATTTGGAGTATCTTGCTATTGAAAATTCGGCAGAATTTCCCTGAATAATTATCTGGATCTGGAATATTTTGTAGAGTATTTCCTTAATAACTTTTTTTGGTTTCTTCGAGGAAATCAGTCTCTTTTTAATTCCTAAATGTAATGGTGTCAATTTCATTAATCTGTATTTCCCTAGAAAATTCTCTGTTGTATCTAGATTTTCAAACTTATAGCAATAAACATCTGCAAAATAGATTCACACAGTTTTTTAAACTTCTTGTTTTCATGTTTATTTCTCTTTTGTCTTTTTCTTATTTTGTATATACTTCCTATTCAGTTTTTGCCTTGACAAAGTGATTTATCAATGTTAAGCTTTTCAAATAGTGGCATTTTAATCTTTTTAAAGGTCTAATTTTTTTCTCTTCTCTATTTTGTTAATTTTTGTTTTTATTCATTCAGCCACCTTCTGTTTTTGATTGGAGCATTTAATTCACTGACATTTAAAGTGATTATTGGTAAGTATATACTAATTGAAATTTTGTTACTTGTTTCCTGGTTTTTGTTGTAGTTTTTTTCTATTCTTTTTTTCTTCTGTAAGTTTATTCCTTTGTGATATAATGGTTTTCATTAGTAGTATGCTTGTGTTCTTTTATCTCTAGTATTTGTCTATTTTAGGTTTTTGATTT